GCCGGCAGGGGGGATGATCTCGATGAAAATTTCTAGGGAATCCGTTCTCCCTTCTTTTCCCTTCGACGAACACCGCTGCGAAGATTTATCTCGAAGAAGAAGCAACGAGGGAGAAGTGGAAAAATTTCACAAAGAGCAGAAAGTCTGGTGGTTCGATTCGATTATTAATTTCACGTTACAACTGTCGCGTGCTCACAATTAGGCTACATCTGCAACTGATTACCTTCATTCACGTCGCTTCTTCTTTCTCTCGATCGTCGGAGATCGTCGCGACTGTCGCGATAATTAGATTCGACGAGCTGTTTTCTGGTTTTATCGCGGCAGTTTCTGCGGCGTGAAAAATTGGAGAGACCTGGAGTGCCACGCGTAATTTTTCACCGTGGAGCCGGACGATCTCGAGGCCGGTTAACAATGCAATTTTCATCGGATATCCGGAGCGGGCGCGGCGTGTACGCGCGGAATTCTGTATCGTAAATGCATTCGGAATGATGAAAAGTTTATTCCGTGACAAATGATTTCCCAATGAAATTTGCATCCGCGCTAACCGATGCATGCTTAATGGAAAACACGCGGGCGAAATTGGACTTACGATCGAGTTATATCTCTCTGTTCATTCACTGTTGTCGCGCGTTACTCACGCTCGTTTGCTTTTTTTTCCTACCAACGATCGATGAATATTTAAACAAACCAGTTCGTTACAGTTACGTTCTTCCGATGTATGTGTGTCGCGAGCGTTGCTCGACGGTGCGAACGAAGAAAAAGGATAATGCGGTAGTAGAGGGATGATAAAATCACGTAGGCGTTAAGTGAAATCGAATAGTAAATCGTTTATTAGTACGAAGGTGTGATAGTGTCTCGAGTTAGCCTTGGCCGACATTCGTGATTAGAGTGAACCATGTGATACCATAAGGTGAACGAGTGTGATAGAGTTTTTTTTGTCTTTTTTTTTTTCGTTTCTTAAGTGATTCGTAAGAGATAGATGTTAGAGCTAGTTACCCTGTTCTGCGAGCTGGTGTTCTCCCCGTCGATCGGGCCGATTTCGCATCTCCGTTGGAGGAAGAACAATCGATCCCTCACAGACACCGTTTTCATCGAACCTCGTGACCGTTACGATCGCAAGGCGGCGCGATGGAAAAGGAGAACGCCCGTGCAAGCTAACTTTCAAGAGTGCTACTTGTTATCATCCGAGGTACTCTAGTGCCTATGACTTCTTTTTTTTTCTTCTTCTGCCTTCGTGTTCTGCCTATATCGCTAAAGTTCGCAGCTAAAATTAGCGAGACTGAAGGGGAGGAACGCGACACCCCTGCTCGAACGCAATAATAAATAATATAGAATCCTCGCGATATCGTATACGCGTTTCACCGACGAAAAAGAAAGGGGGAAAGAGGTATCTCTCCCCGATTTGTTCGTTCGTTCGTTGCGTTCCCTTCTTTTCTTATTCGATCGACTGCCTCTCTGTACTCCCCCGTACTTGCCATCCGTTCTCGAGCACACTTAGCTTAGCTGGCCAACGAAACAATTGGAAAGGAAGGGAAAAAACGAAAGGCGAAATCATCTCGTCTCTCTCTCCCCGCTTCTTTTTCACACGAACAACGATAATTAATCAATTCTTACGCGATTTTCACGTGAAATGTCGACGTTTACATCGTGTGTAACAATTCGTTCGATCGCGACAAAGTACTGTGGATTGTTTTTTAGGTAGCGTAATACAGAATTGCAGGCTGCCGGGTGGGAATGGGACGCGACAAGCATCCCCGTCTCCTCTTTGTTTAAATAAGAACAGTGACAATAAATTAGGTTTCCGTCGTACCTACTGTACACAGCGCGTGTCTATATAATATATATATATTTTCATATACCGCAGATATATATATATATAAAAACGATCTTGAAAAACGTTTGACTAACATGGACGTAAAATCGTACAAAAAGCGTGTTTGTCCCTCTTCTAATTCCGTGGTGCGTGTTCACCCTCTCTGTAATTTCTTCTTTTTTTTTTTTTTCTTTTCTCGCGCGAGTTTCCATACTGCGAACCGATTGTTCGCCCCTCTCTCTCTCCACTCTTGCACTCTTTGATTGTACGCATCTTTGATCATACGTGACTGGTCGTGCGCTTTCGTTCCCCGCGATAAGTACGTGTAATACCACCTACAGTTCACCTTTATTTTCGCTCGTGAACTCACCAACCCCCCTCTGCCACCCGCAGATCGATAACGTTCCGCGTTTTTCGCGGTTTCGACACATTCGGGTGGAGTACCGCCGCGCAAGCTTCTCGTGGCTGTTAAAATTGTGAAATTTCTCGTTGATTGTTTTTTGCGCCGGATTGACATACGTATGTATAATGTAACGCGAGAGATTGAGAAAAGAAGTATCGTTTAGAAATCGATTAGTTTTTCGACGTTGGAGACACCAGAGACGGGGGTGGGTGATACTCGCGAGCGTGTGTCCAATAGTGTGTCCGCTAATGTCACCTACGCACACACCTGTATTTCTCGGCTCGTACATATAAAATTATATTTACAACAGAGTGATCTTTATGTTTGTTTGTTACTTTTTCGTCGTGAGGTATTCGCTCTACATGCATCTAAAGAGTGTACAGTGTATACGAAGAAGCGGAAGGGAGTGCTGCGGTAACCCGGAAGGATCTCCCTTCCGGACCGCTGTTACATTTTTTTCTCTCTCTTTCTTTCTGAATAATTCCAGCATTTTCTCATCTCGTTCTTTCCTATTTCTCCCGCACTTTTGCTGCCTCTCTCGCACACGTGTGCAATATCGCCGCTACATACGACGTGCTTGTTCGTTATAAATAATTTAAAAATTATATACTTTTATATATTAAATTGATTCTCTTCTTCTTTCTCACCCCTCTCTCTCTCCCTTTCTTTTTTGTCTGGTTTGCTCGTCACACACGCACGCACTCGCACGCGCGAGAAAGTTTTGTAAACGATATGATACAGCTATGCTACAGTGGAGTGAACACTCTCTCTCATTCGCTCTCTCATTCTCTCTCCCTTCGCTTCCTGCGTATCGCAAGTATTTACACGGGGTCGCTCGCGAATAGTTGTCCATTTCCTTACACCTATATGTATATGTATACTTATGCTTGCTTCTGTATATATTTATATGCGTATGTACCAGCCTAGTAAGAACACTGTCCCTCGATTATCCTTTCTCATCCTCCTTGGTCTGTCTCTCTCTCTCTCTCTCTCTCTCTCTCTCTGGCAGCATGATCGAGGCGTCTCGCGAGCGGAAAATCGTGCGACTACCGACGAGTCTTTCTCTGTTCTCACACGTATGGCAGCGATGAAAGCGCGTGACAACGTTTACGATATTAAATCTACCGAGGGCAACAAAATGTACAGACGAGGGCAAAAACGAAAGTGAGACTCTCACGGGAAGAGAGTAGCTAGGGTAAATTCAAAGAGGGAATACTATTAACGTTGCTCGACGCGCTCGACGCGATCTCGTTCCTTCTGCGAGCTCGCTTCCTCCGAGGATTATTTCTGCTCTTCATCAAAAGAATCATTTCGCGTATTCAAAAGACGACAGGCTATCGCAGCGTGATCCGTCGCGGAGAAAGGAAACGTCGCGATACGCGACGAACCGTTGTCTAGAACACCGGCGGGGGGGTTATCTTTCGTCGACGAAGGAGGAGCTTTGAGAATGTAGGACGAGGGAAAGAAAAGGCTCGCAGAAGGAACACTATGTATTCTCTTTGCAAAAGCATCAAGGCTTTCACGAAAGCCTCTCTCTCTTTCTTCCCTTCGCGATTCAGCTCTTTTCTCTCTCTTCTGATCCAGACATGCCGCGACCTCGTACGAGATTGGAAAAATAGGAGCTCCCCTTGAGCGTTCGCCTAGCGTGTCACGTAATTATCGCGATAATTATCGTAACTTGATAATTGACGAGGAAAAATTGCAACTCGATAATTGTGTGTGCTTAACGTTAGTGTGGTGTGAAACTACCGATGTGCTTGTGTAATGGCTACTACGATGCTTTTTTCATTTGCGAGTCTCTCTCTCTCTCTCTAAGTGCGTGTGAAGGTGTCTCTTTATTTTACTGCTTCCTTTAGATGCTATTTTACAAATCTGATCGATGGCGTTTGTATAGCAGAACGAAATATTTGCCCCGCGTACGTATCAAAGTATTTTTTTTCTTTCTTGTATTTTGTACGAAACCAGTTGGCTGATATCCCCCCCTCCCTTTTCTTTATTCTTTTTTTTTCGTTTTTTTCGTTTTTTTCGTTTTTTTCGTTTTTCTTAAACGGTGGCAGTCTTTGCGAAGAATTGTATGTTTAGGATCGTTACTGACAGTGATTCGGTTCACCTTTGTCTTTGGATTTACCAAAGGTAGTCGCACGTCACGCACGAAAATATTCGTCAGATTAAAAAAATCGTCTCGCGAGTGGCTCTACGTCTCTTATAAATTACAAACTAGAAGGCTATTAAGTCGAAGTTGCTTCAATCAGCGTCCTTTGGTACCAGCCTGAGTCTCGTTAGATTACAAATTAATTTGTTAAATAGTCTTGCTAAATCACTAAGAGATCACTGTGTTCTCCGTGGGTGTTCCGCTCTCTCGCTATCCACCGCGATATTACAGTCCCTCTCTATTGCTCTGCTGATTATCCTCGACCGTGTTACATCCAGCCGTTAACACGATACACCCCTTAAACGATACGTAAACGAGTCTCTCATTCTCGAGAATACTAAAATACTTGCTATATATCACGCGGCAACAACAACGAAGTTAAAAAACGCAAGCTCCTGCCACAGTACCGACGATAAAAAATACTCTCTTTCCACCCAAAAGGTAAAGAGTCAACAAATAAAAGAGAAGAAGACGAAGAACAACTTAGAAAATAAATACGCGAAGAGGAAAAGAAACGTTTTAAAAAAGTAATTTACACGCTTGCTCCGAGCTATCGTCTTCCGTCGAAACGAAGAAACCATCTTGCTCCGCCTCTAAACGAACACACTCCTCGGTGTACGGGCACCGGTGTATTAGGATACGATATAGTCCGCGGAGTGATGGGAATGATGAGAATTTCGATGCTTGTCCTTCCTGTGATTCGTCCTCGAGTTACTGCTACGCGTGCCGGTCGTACCGGTCGTGTCTGACGTGTGATGGCTGTATCCACTGTCGCTACCGAAACTGCTGTCCGGCTGGCCCTGGTACAGCCTACCGGAAGTGATCTGCTCGGTGTCCCGTGGCGCGTAGTACACCGGCTGCGTGTACTTGTCCTCGTTATACAGACGATCCGTCGGTTGCGAATAGGTGTCGGAATATTCGCCGCCCACCTGCGTGTAAACAGGGGCGCTCTCCTGGTTCTGCAGACCGTAATACTCTCCTCCGTATTGCGCCGAGTACTTGTACTTGTCGTTCGACTTGCGTGTCCTAACCTTGTTGCTTCTGCTTTGGCTGGAATAATGGTGGAGAGGTCCGAGCACCGGTACACTCTCGTACGGGTTCTCCTCGACCCTGAGTGCCTGCGTGGCTGGCATCGGTGGTACGAAGTACGGTAACCTGTGGGCCACCGACGGGACGGACTGTTGTCGTTGATTGCTATTCGATCGAGTGCCAGCTACACCTGAAATTCATACCAAAACGGTACATATATCTATATCTAGGCTTGCGCGAGATTTGGAAAGTGGAGGTTCGATACGAAGAGTTTGGCTACCGAACGAAAAAATCGTGCCACCTTTCATGTCGCGATGGGTACCGTCGACGCACCGTCGACTACAGCACACGGTGTGTTACTCCGTGAGGGATTTGTGCGTGCCAGGATTTTCACGGTGGTAGCATCGATTTCATTCGGTGTCGACGATGCTTCGACGGTGGCAGCAAACGTGTTCATTTCATCAATCTCTATTTTCACAGGCGACCGTTTAACACGCTCACTGCCATGAAAGAATCGCGAGGGATTTGTCGCCGCGTGCCAGAATTTTCACGGCGACAGCGTCGATTTTTGACGTAGCGAATGATCGATATATCGTCGACACGCGGTGCTCCAAAAGTACTATGAACGAGTGCTAGAGCTTACCAGCGACGCTAGGATAGAGCTGTAGCAACGCGTCGAGCAGCATCCCCTCGTGGAACTCTCCCACATCGTGGCTCTCGTCTCTCCGGCACCTGTCGAGGCTCCTGGGGCTCCTACCTCGTCTCTCCCGCGGTGGCCTGCCACCAGCCGGACAGGTGCCCCACGTAGGACCGGTAGACGAGGTTAACCTTCTCGCCTCGGACGGTTCACCCAGGGACAGCTCGTCCTCGGCGAAATCGTCCTCGGCGAAATCGTCGACCGTCGGCCGCGGTGGCTCGTCCTTGATCCTCGACGAGGAGCCACGGTGATAATGGCGATGATGATGATGGTGCAACCGATTCCTGGCGTTCAGCTCGCTCTCTTCGTCCGCTTTCGGATGGTCCTCTGGAACGGATGAATAATTCATAAGTACCGGGTGGCGTTCACGTTGCATCCACGGGGGCGAGTAGGACGTGATAATTAATTGGGCGGTTCGTTAATTAATTAACAAGGCATTCTCTTTCGCGTGTCAAAGTTACCATCTCTTTGCGCGATGGTGCATGGATGAAATCAAATCGAATCGTGCTTTCAGTTTTCAGCAGGGGGAATCGGTGTCGGAATTAATTAGTTAGAGAGAACGGTAGTCGGTGTCGTGGCTCGTTGTTTCACTTAAACACGAGCGGAAGTTCGTCAGCATAGAGAAGGAAGAGGAGTAGGATGAAGAGGGGTGACTGTTAAGTGAAAAAGTATCCGTGGAAAGGGAACCGTGTCGTCGTCATTAGCCATTGTCATCGAACGGAATCTTCATTCAGACAGGATGCACTTTCCGTCGCGTTTTCATCACGTCAATTTTTTCTCTCATTTTCCATTTCATTCATGGTTCTCTCTCTCTCTCTCTCTCTCTCTCTACATATACACAATCATACAGTATTTCTTTTTCTCCTCTTCTTTTTGATCTGTCGCGGCAGTTTTAACTTTTGTTCCCGGTAATTGACCCGCGAGCCACCTATCGTTAACGGATCGCCATTGTTGCTAGCGCGGCTGGTATCAATTCGGCGCTAACGAGAGCAACGTTCGTTTACATCGAGGTCAT